AAACTAACCGAATAAAACCTGCAAATGAATGAACAAGATTATAACTAAGTAACGCATAACTCAAATGTTCAGTAGTGCAGCCCGTCTAACCAGGATATTTTGCCTCCTCTCTGACGGGCTCTCGACCAATCAGAACGCTGGATTTTGTACCACGTGACCCTCATTAGCATAAAATGAGGATCGGGAAAATTCCATTGTTCACGGGGTATAGGTAATGTGTGAGGGGAAGGTCACGATATTAATACATACAGGAACGTACCATTTGTTTGTTGGTCTTTGTGATCGATATAATCTGCTCGAGAGAGCGAGGTTAACTCGGGTATGTCTTGAAATAAGTACAAAACTGCATGTAGAGTACAGTAAATAAAATACCGCTTAATATAATGAACTTAATTGATGGCCCTTTTTAACACACGGACTATACTTATGTGGGCCGGGTATGTAGGTTAGAAACGCATGTATACGGTACATTCACAAGAACGTTATACAAGTATGTTGGATTAGAAATTCGTACATTTTGTTAAACATAATTTTTTTTGTTTTCAATATTGCTAACCTGACAGACTGAGCTTGAAAACAAGCCAGAAGTTCTACTACATACTTTATTACAATACATCAAACTCAAAGATACAAATGAAGGTGATAAAGGTTCACTAACTATTCCAGCAATAAACAGTGATTAAACAAAATGTACTAGTTGACGCTGAATCACAAACAAATCACATTACATGTACACAACGACATTTATTAAATTATTATCAAAAGAGAGCGGCCAAATTACAAACAAGCTCTTCTTTCACAATAATAGATTGTGTAGCAATGGTTGAATAAGAAAGGTATCAAATCAAATTCCCGCTTTTTATAATACACATGTGGTCTCTTGTACTTGATCCGCAAAATTTTCACCGCTTTAGATACAAAATTTGGAACACGATTGGCCAGATCCAATCATGTGGACACGGTAAAACTACTCAAACATTGCTCTCACCTTTTTGGGATTAATAGTCAAATCGTTAATAAATAAACATATAGGTGGGTAGAACTTTTTTCATATTTAGCCAATCATTGCATTTGTAAAACATTTGTTGGTAATCCCCAGCGAATTTTTAAATTCCCTTGCATGTAAAAATAAGAAAGTAAAATAAGAAAAATTAAAACAAAAAAGTTATTTGTTTACACGACAATCACTGTTAAATTCGTTTCTTCGTTTATTACATAGGGTACAAACATTTGACATCGTAGTTTCAATTGTGGAGTTGTTGCTCCGTTATTCTAGCATAGTTCACTTTAAAATTATATGCTGTAATAATACGAATCATTAATCATACGTGCAAAAAATGGACACAACTTTGTGATATATAAAATAAAATCAGTTTGAAGTTGTCGACGAGCATTGGTAAAAGAATTAATTACGCCGCTTCGTGTTAACGTTAAGTGCCACAACAAAGCAACAGCCTGTTAAGTAGATGTACAATATTGTCCACACATGTACATACACTTTTGAACAAACTGTTTTGATCGAGAGCCCCACTGTATATTAGGTCAAGAGTGGAAATTAAAAGCCGTAAGGCACGGTGTCGTAATTATCTTTCGGCACACGCTTGGTGTAAACCACCTGATAAAATTTCTTTTCCTCTTTCGTCTCAATATTCACAGTTTTCTTGTTCCTCGTTATTTTGTAGGGATCTTTCACTTGCACTTTACTTGGACCTTCTTTGCGTACCATTTGAGACATGACATCGAAATTAACGAGGAAATGATTCCTATAGTTCAGAGTAATGCCTCTGACTTTACAGTGAGACAAGTTGCCACTCTTGTCTGGTTTGGCTAATTCGTAACCGTAATTCTTGGGACCTCCTGACACGAACGTAACGATATGATTATCAGCCTCCAACTCATTGGTCAACTCTCCCAGAAAGTCACCAATCTCCGGCTCCCATTCACCCTTTCGACTGACGTAAATCACGCTATCGGTGTCATAATAGAGAACCTGTGATCAAGTTTGTCTAACAGATCGTACAACTTCAGACGAGCTTGACTAGTCGTGTATGCGGCTAGTATTACGTTGGTCCTTCCTGACGGCTCCACAAAGTCCTCCGTGTGTTGCCATTGCACCTCGACCATCTCCTCGTTGACGAAGTTAGCGCTTTGAACTTCGATGTCATCACGCGTCATCATGTCGAGGTATTCGGTTGGGTCCTTCAAGTACGAAGACTTCGCCATGTTGGGTCGTTGTCCAAACTTCCCCCAGAAACTGAAGAGGAGAAATATATTCATTAGAACTTGTTAAGCATAACTTTGAGAAAAGCAGGAATTAATTCGCTAATGTTTGGATTTGGGAGTCACAGTCATACAATGCATAACTCATTGAAAAAAAAAATGGAACAGTTTAAACTTGAATGTACTTGAAAGTCAGCTACCTGTTAAGCATCAGCTTTGCTATGGCCCTCAATCCCGGGTTCTTCTTAATGTTGCCCCACTCGAGCCGGATCCCCTCCTTGTCAAAATACCGCTCGATGTATTGATGTTTCTGCTCGTCCGTCTGACACCAGACAGGCCAGTCACTCGCCCCCTGTTTCATCTTGAGGAAAGCATTCACGTAGTCTGCAAAGAGCCCACCCTCTTTGGTGTCTGGATCGTAATGAGCGACTTCATAAAAACGCCAGACCTCGTAGATTTTCACCAGCGTGTAGCCTTTAACCAGCGCCTTCTGCAACTCCAGAGTGACCCACGTACCGATGAGGGAACGGTCGTCGTCGCTGTGCTGACATGGTGGCTGTTGAAGGGTTTCAGCGCACTTGGCGCACAGAGGGAACATCAAACGACCCGATGCTTTGTACGGAATGACGGGGTGATACAAGCCTCTAGGTGGAAGAACCTTGCATTTAATCAGCCCCTCGTACTCGCTGACATCACCGAAATTTTCGGTGATAACAGTGGGATGGCCGATTGGATATTTTCCATATTTATTGACGTAGGGGTACAAGGAGGTAAAGTCAACGTACTTGATCTTCTCATTGGGCCCTGCTTCGTAATGCAGTCGAGTGGCATTAGTGCGACCTCCGCAGAAAGCATCACGTGGAATGAGAGGTGTCTGAATCTCTAGCGAGGACACAAATGTGTTCATGTCTGTGTTCTGCGAAAGTTCTGTATCAAACTCGCATTCCCATTTTTTGATGAGGTTGTACCCACATCCCATAACGTATTGACGTTTGTCGGTGGTCGTCTGGTAAAGCTCTTCCATCGTGAGGCCGTTGAGAGGATGCTTAGTGTCCCGAGCAAGGCAAGTATGACCGTGATGAAGACAACCGTGAAATTCGAGCGCGGTTTTCACTCCATTTGACTCGTAGTAGCCATTGGCCTTGTAGGGACCAATGTGTTTCTCACCGCCGTTGGCGGCATGTTGGACGAGGTGACCAGTCTGATGGGCCACCCATTCGAGCCACTTGAGAGCCTTGACCGACTGGCGATCGTTGGAAGGATATCCCTGAGGATGGATGATAGCGACGGTGTCCGGAGCCAAATACTTAGTGCGATATACCAAGTTGCAAGCGGAAGCGATTGTAATGCAATGGCGAAACGGGTCTATACCGGGGGCTGAATCTTCAGTAGTCATGTTCATGAAAAGGGATCTAAAGCTGAGACAACACCGACGGAGTATGTCCACGTCAGAACGACAGTATTTGACAATTTCTTTCTGGAAGTCAAAGCAGTCATTCCGATGTTCCTAGTACCACTGAACGAAGGCCTGTCTGTCTGTGGGCTTCATGGAATCGGGATTGTAGTAATGCATCTCGGGGAGGTGAGAGAGTACAGCATGCTGATTGGCCCAGGTGTTGAAGAAATGAGGGAAGTATCCCTTGGCCAGTTCCTTCAAACCGAAAGCACCCGGAAGTTTGGAGAGGGCCATGGGGAGGAAGTTGAAGGAGTCGATGAACTTCATATCGGTGGAGGGTACCGTGATGCTCATTACCTTGGCTCCATTCAAGATAACCTCGGGTAGGACGGCATTGTCGTATAAATACCGCAGAATAAAATATGAGTCGTATCCTTTGAAATTGTGACAGAGGACAATGGAACCAGCGTTCTCTTCGCTAAAGAGCCAATGGCAAAAATTCCTGCCTCGTGGTGGGCCCAGCGAGAAGTCGCTCGCGCTGCTCACACCGTGTGCACGATGCCAATTGTTCCTCGCTCAAGCATTTGGAGCATACTTTTTGTGCGATGCAGAGATTTGGATCGTGGACACCCGATTCTTGCACGCATTCGAAATCAAAGAAGATGTAACTTTTGACGTCATCTTCACAATCTTCGGCATCGTCTTTCATGGCATGTGCCTCCTCCATTTCTTCAGCAATTAGACTGCAATTATTGTCGGGTTTGTCTTGAGTTTTGTCGACCGGCTGCATATAACACAGATGTCCGGGAAGAACAAATTCTCGGCATACGTTGCAGTACCGTTCTCCACACCGGTGGTCTTTGCCTTTGTGATATCTTTTGCTGACAAACTGTCCGCAATCTTGGCACCTGAAGTGAGACTTGCACATTGACACACCGCGAGTGTTCCGTTTCAGGTGATTTTCGTAGCACAAGTCACTTCTGAAGTATCTATTGCAGTCTCGGCAATATACTAACTCGCCTTCTTCACAGGTGGGCTGGAAACAAAGCTTACATGAACCTTGACATCTATGGTCTTCGGGATGGTCGTGACCTTTCAGACATCTCACGCAGAAATAACTTCTGTTGAGGAATGCAGGCATGCTGGTGATGACGTCATAGTGTCCATCATGATGATAGAGGTAAATCTGTTGATTGGCAGAGGGACCTTTGTAGACGACAGCATTTGCGTATTCTTTGGACGCCACTATGATCTGATAACTGCTGACAAGGCGTTGAAATTGTTTAATTTCCTCGAGCCCGCATTTCGTCAACGGTACCCCCGCATTGCAATGCAGTTCCTCAGCGAGTATCTTCTGCAGCTTGTATCCCTTGCGGTTGGCATCCCACTTTTCGTGTTTGTCGAGTCGAGCTTTGGCCGTAACGATGGCTCTAGCACAGCACAATTCCTCTTTATTCACGATCTGAATGAGACATTGTTTTTCTTTCAAATATCGGTCTAGGTTTACGTACATTTTGCGGCGACGTTTACCACCCTTTGGCATTTCTACGTGGGTAATTTGAATCTCGAGAGTGCCATCTATGGTGAATTCTTCGTAAGACTGTAACACTGTCTCCACCCTAGCTAGGAATCGTTCGGCCGTTAAGCGAGACTTGGGCATGAAGGGTAACGTGATGGGATAGTCCAGCTCTGGACATGTGACCACCATGCGTATCAAATCTCTGCTCCCTCTGTCAACGTGTCGATGAGACTCTGGAGTACTTGATTTAAGGTTTCCACAACGGTAGAATAGCTGTAAATGTCGAGGTTGTCGTTAAATCTGACGGTGTACTCTTGCCCCTTTGTCTTGAATTTCTTCATATCCACTTCTCTGACCATTGTCACGTGGAACAGGTCACGAACGTCGCCCGAGATTTTCTGACATTTTGGTGCTGGTTCCTGCGTCGGTGCCTCATCCACTTCCCCGAAGCCTCTCTGCATAATCAGTCCCCCACCGTGCTGATTTTTGAGGTGACGAATGTAATTGTCACGTCTGGCAAATACCTTGCAGCATATATCGCATTGGTATTGGTTGGCATCACTATGCCGGACAGCGTGGCGATTAAAATTACTACGAGAGTGGAACACCTTATTGCAAACGTCGCAAGTAAACATCTGTGGAGTATAAAGACGTATAAATGTAATTAAGGTTAAGTCAAGGTTAATGCTCAAAACACAAACCACAAAACATAATTGCACATTACTAATTCTCGTACGTGTCAAGACCTGAACGTTTCATACAAAGGGGGAACTTTCTGTTTCGCTCTACGGTTCATCGCCAGAATTTCAGAATATCGACGCATACCTTTTCCCATAGAATAATTACTGATGTCTGAAAAGTGAATCCTTACGTCAGTTGACTGTGAGTCCTCTGCTCGTTTTGCAAAGTCGGTTATTACTCCAAGTAGTACCTGTAAAAGTGATGAGAAAAATTACTAACTGTAGGCCTATATGCTGAGAAATATACGTAGGTTTGAATGAGAGCTTGAGTAAGAGATGTCACGACGTCGGTGGTTGAAAGTAAAATGAAGATTTGTCCGTGGCGCCCAACTTTGTATAATTCTATTACGGACGTTGTGATCTATGTTGTGATCTAATTTGCATTAGCTATTTCATTTCATATGTCACGCTAGTATAGTAAATACAGCGCAATTCCATTCCATGATTTATAATTTCTGTTATCTCACGTGTACCTTTTTCTTTAGTGGTGTTTATGTTAGTTGCGAATTGCAGCTTGTTCCCCTTGCAGAATGTCACTTTGAACTTGCTACAAGTGCATTTATCTGCAAAACAGGTATGAGCGTGAATATAATACGTGTATACTTGAATACAAGATAGATTACTCTGCGCCGTGACGAGTCCAACGGTTGGCAGCTAATTGCTGCCTCGTGCGCAGCTTACAGACTTATATAATTCTATTGCGGACGTCGCGATTTATCGTGATGATATAATCTGTGCTTCTGATTGGTTAAATATATCAGTTATCGAAATTATGATTAGTACAGAGCTAACATGCCACCAGAAACCGCA